CCTTTCGGAAAGTCTCACTGTGAGTGTTGACAATGTTGAGGAATCCATCGAGGTCACCTGCACCGACTGCCTGAGAAAGCAACAGGTAAGGATGCATGGCCTGCTCCAAAGCCGGCTGGCGGAAGACAGCACGGTCTGGAATGTCACCCATCAACAGCTCAACGACTACCAACAGCTTGTGAGAAGCCTGGTAGAATCCGCGAGCAACGGGGCTGGCAGGCGACTTGCGGGTAGCGCCAATCAGATGACTGTGAGCCTCCGTATATTGCAATTGGATGGCACGGATGCGGCCAAGGTAATACAGATACCGAGCAATCTGGTTGTTGGAAGCAGCGACAGGGAATGGGTTGTGGGAGATCAGAAGATCTGCCTGTGAGATGTGAGACGTGGACAGGTAGTTGCGAAGCAAAAGTGTCATCACAGTGGCCTGTGTGTCGACGTCTTTCCGGAGCACAGCTGTACGCAAAGCAGCCAACAATGGCTGACGGATAGTGGTAACAGCCGCTGCGGGAGAGGGAGGGAGCGGAGAAATTTGTTCGTAGAAGAGGGAGTAGTAGAAGTACACGCGGGCAGCGAGGGAATCCAGCGTACGGCGGTTGAGTGCACGCAGGCGCTCAATCAAGTCTGTTGAGAACTGAGCGCCCTTCTGGATGTCCCGCTTGTCGAAGAGATAGATCTGAACCAAGATGGATAGGTAGGCATCCACCTCGGCAAGAGTCTCCTTGGGGGCTGCCTTGCTCTTCTCCGAATCCACCTCCATCTGCGAGCTAGCCGGGGCATTCTCGAAAGCATCCGAGTTACCGAGAGCCTCCAGCAAGAACGAGGCTGTCGAGTTGGAAGCGGTGTAGGTGTCGACAATGACTTCGGCGAGGACCTCGGGGGTGATGTGTTTCCGCATCGAGGATATGGACCGCAGGACACGGAGGGTAAATCTGGGGTCGAAATGGGCAACGGCTCGCTCGAGCAAAGTGAAGTTAGTCTTGATGTCTGGATTGAGAGTTGTTGTTAGCAATAGATCCGTCGTTTTTTTTTGGACCAAGAAGAGAAGTTGACAAACCTTGAATGGCCTTGGTCGTTGGGTCGATCTCAGGCTCCTTCTCAGCATCATCCTCTGCTCCCTCCATCACCACATCCTCCCCCTTGTCCTTGCCGGATGGTTTGGAACCCTTGGTCGGGGGTACTACTACGGTCATCTTCTCGTCACCTTTGCGGTCCTTGTTGGTGTTGAATCCGGATGTAGGCGCACCTGCCGTATCCTCTCCCATCTCAACATCTTCAGAACCATTCACGCCATTCTCGGTTGACTTCGATCCGTTCGTATGCGAGTCTTTCTCCCCCATATCACCGTTTGATGCGCCCTTTGCGTCTTTCTTGGCCGGAGCTGACTTGGCCTTGTTAGCGGCTGCACGGGTGGTAGGCGCGGCCTTGTCTTTCGCACTCGAGCTCTGGGAATTCGAGCGAGCCTTTTCACCGTTAGCAGATGAAGAGGTGTCGGATTTGTTGTTTGATCGCAAAGAACGCCTTTCGGCCGGCATCTTTCTCAAGCTATCGAGCTCAGGTGAGCAGCCACCAAGCTACCGGGAGAAGTAGGGAGAAGGGCGAGCAAAGTGTAGAGACAGGAAGCAGAAAGGCAAACCCTAGAGACCCTAACTGCCAATAACACGGAATATGATGAGAAAAAACCTGTGTGGACAGATGGATGAAGTGGATGGGTGATGTGATGTCAAGATGGGATGGACGGGCGCAAGAGACCAGACGAGCAGCTTAGTCAGGGGGAGCTTACTGGTCAAGTCGCCGCAGTACACTCTGGATAGAAGCTGCGAGAACAAAAAGAGAATATTGTGAAATCAACTTCAAGATGAAGAGCAGAGTTGTATTCAATCCAGAATTACTTTCCAGGCCTCAATTTCGGTGTGGCAGTTGATGAACAGCCGGATTCTGAATATTCTGCCTCAGGCAACACTGCAGCTCGGAGTAAACAACGGCGCAAGGAGGAAACACTCACTCTAAGCAACTATTCACAGTTAGAGCTCCAGATACCGCAACTATGACCCTTCTCAGCTCCCACCTGGAGCAGATCACACTCTCTTCCAATGCTATTGCCGATTTGCCGTCAGTTCCTTTGATACCCTTCATGCTGTGTAGACTAACGCAAGCATCCAGGTTCCCTCCCCCGCGGATTTTCACCTCTGCGCTGCTAGGATCCCACGATATCACAGCCCTGATCCGAGACACAGAAGCCCATGAGCGGGCTCTCTTCCAAGTTGATCCCTCCTCCAAGGCCCATGGACACAAACGCGCCGCACGACGCGGGACTATGTTCCCCGCCGAGCCTGAAAACGAGTCGATGGCCAGCCGAATCTATTCAGCACGGAATAACCGCAACCAGTCTGCGGTAGCAAAAGTCCTTGGACATGATATGATGGAAGAGATCAAGCGATCTGCGGGCACCTCAACCCGAGGACCCCGCGGGGAGGTCAACATTGAAGTTCTTCTTCGAGGCGCTGAGATCCTGTGCAATGTTTAGTAAGTGTAGTGGCCTCAGCAGAATACATCATCTTGGTCTAACGGACTCGAAGCCCCGTTGCTGGAGCACAGGAAAAAATCTCTAGCCTCCGCTACCGTCATGAGCTTGTTACCGAGTCTATAGCTCGACTGGAAGACCGGGTCGCGACCAACACAGCGGAGCTGGATCAAATGAGACACTCCTATGAAGATGATCAGGATGGCTTTGCGCCTGCGTCCGTTGCACAGCCGGAAGTTCCAGATGTCACCGATGAGGATATCGAGCGAGAGATGGCTGAAATCAGTGACTTGGAACGGAGAAAGCGAACACTGGAACAACGAGTTGCAGGCATGGAGCGAGACCTAGGAGGCCTGATTGGCTGAGCTTTTCACGAGCTCTAGGGTTTCATTCTCTCGGTGAAGGACCTAATGTCAACCGGCTGGGGCTGCGTTCTTGTCCCCCAAAACACCAGACATGCATGGGCCATAGATGCGCAATTTGACTGGCTGCCATGTTTCTTAGTCAAGAAAAGCCAGTCATGGCCTCTGCCTTGACCCTCATGTTCCACTGCGGCTTTATGTCTCTGGCTATCGTCAATTGTTATTGGTGACCATGGGGATTCAAATGAAGTTTATCCCGGGTCACTACCAGTTACTCGATGTCATAGTCCGCGGCATATGCTGCGCATTTCCTCTGGCCAAAGGAAAGCTCTTAAATCATGTTTGATCATCACTAACGATGCTATATTCGTCTGGGTTGAGGACAACTGTTCTAGGTCGCTACTACACAACGTCTGACAATCATGTCCGTGTTATGCCAACTTCCAGCGACATATACATACGGCTTGCTCATTTCATGTATTACGATGGTTATGAGTATCAATATCAATGATTCTTAGTATTACGAAGGTTTTCATACAGCATGGGTCAGGCATGTTTATACAGTGCCATTGATAAAGTATTGGACATTCTCTACACGAGTATACCAATGGTTTTCGCCCCATTTTGACCTCTCTTTTACATCTCTTGTTTACCCATTTTAGACTGCCGCGAATTGTAGTTCTTGTATATAGTAGTCCGTTGAGTGATTCCTCCGTCAGAACAATGCCACTTCGGGAAAAACAGGAGCTCGGTCAAACAAGGCATGGAACGGCAACACGAGGGGCCCGCCGTCCTTACTAGTTGCAGTGATAATTACTTGCTGAAAATAGTACTGCTGTAGGTTAGCAGCGTAAGAGATTTAATATCGTAGATTCGTAGTAGGAGAATACATGCCTCTTAGACCAGGCGTACTCTTATATAATTAAGTATTAAGTAATGCTTATACTGCATTTGACTTATCACGGGGTGTTTTAGTAGGCAATTAAGCATTGTTATTCTACACTACGATAGATTATCCAACAATGAAGCGTATGGTATAGCACAAGCCCTCGATGCTGGTATCAACGGAGGAACTACGTTTACCTCAGTCAATTCTTACCCAATTTAATCAGTCTTTGATGCAAATAATAGAGAAATAGCTAGAATTTTGTTCAATAGTTAATATCGGTATACAAGCCTTTTGCGGCCCCTACAGCCGCGATTCTACGTGGTATTGAGCTAATCAGACGATCTATACGCCGTAGCTTCCCGAGGTGTATGGGCGGTAATCCTCCGACTTTTGCTGAGAGGAGCCCTAGAAAGCTAGACAAGCGTTTCAATTGAAAAGATCCCTTTTTATATGGGCCTATGCCTGTTCAATAGGGTGCAAATCTGGTGAGTGAGCAGGCATTCTGTGACATGAGCCCCGGCAATTTTAGAAGGCGATATCTCGTTTTGTGAGGCGTATAAACCTAGCCGATCGAGTCTCGTGAAAAAGCTCTGCCTTTTCAGCACGGTTACCATTTATTTCGGTACCAAAACGACGCATATTGGTGGAGTTATGAGGTAGAAGACGCTTTTTGGTTAGGTCCGACCTAAGTGTCAACAGACTCATGACACCCTTGTATCATAGGCTCGGCGCTACGGGGTTGAAGCCCCTCGCACAGGTGTTTCACGGCAGAGATATTCAGAGCTCAAGACTCGATTGAAATAGCTATCTACCAAAATGACCTTATATTGCCCCAAGCCAACTGAAGCAGTCGCAGTTTCAGGTTCCTGACAGCTGGTCGGATCACGCGGGGTACTAAACGGATACGGGGGTGGGCCCTGTATGTAATGTATGTACAGTATAAATACACAAATTACGTACATTAAAATGGGTAATATATATGAATTACCAAGACCATACCGGTAATGCCGAGGTACCCAGAACCTCCGTCATCCCGTGCAGCTGCAACTCCACTTGCTCTAACTTATCTCTTGCTCTCTCGCTCTTTGTCTTTGTCTCTCACGCTATCTCACTCGTTTTACCTTGGAGCCGGTCTCTTCATTTGCTCCTTGTCTCTTCGCTGTTGGAGGTAGCTCTCCCAAATTATGGAGCTTTCGATACTCCCGCATTGATCGACTAGTTCCCGATGGGTTCGCTTGGTAGCTTCCTCTTTGTTTACGCCCTCGGTGGAATCACCTTCATTCCTCTCGTTCTATCCTTGATCCTTCTGTACGCCTACTTCACATTTCCAACTGTCCCGCAAGCGCGGCAATCATGCGCCAAAGCGACCGATCCGATCCGCCAGCCTACCGATGACGACTATAGTCTCAAATCCGGCACCGACCAGCTGGCTGAGAAATTCCACCGCACTCACGAATCCGATGTCGCTGCGGGATATTTTGCTGTCTGTCGTGAATATGTTCCCGGGGGCGTGAATGGGAAACCGCCGGAGAGGACGACGCCCGCGGGAGAGGTCGTCGCGACTGAAAGTCCCAGCGTCTATCAGGCTATGTACCGGAGTTTGTTCGATCGAAAGCAGACGCCTAGTATTGAGCCAGCGAAGTCGAATGGAAAGACCACTAAGCGGGCACGGAACGTCTTTTACATTGTTCTGCGGTATGTATTTCTGGGGTGGGTGAAAGCTGCCTTGTAAGTGCCGGTTGCTGACAATCAATGCTGTCTTCCAGACACGGTCACTTGATGCTCTATGACGATGAAAATCAAGTTGAAGTTCGTTATGTCATTTCTCTCGCTCACCATGATGTGACAATATATGGCGGAGAAGGGGAGATCCCAGAAGGAGAGCTGTGGCTCAAGAGAAATGCCATTTGCCTCTCGCGGCGACTGGATTCGCTTGGTGACCTGGGAGGCCCGACTCCGCCGTTTTACCTCTTCTCTGAGAATCTGTCTGAGAAAGAGGATTTCTATATCGCCATGCTGCGGAACCAGAATAGGCTGTGGGACTCAGCTGATCGCCCGCCCAAGCACCAGGAATTTGATATCAAGCATATTGTCACGTTAGTTCAGAGACTGCATTCCTCTGAAGAGCAATTGCAGACACGCTGGATCAATGCTTTCCTTGGGAGATTGTTCCTTGCGCTATACCGGACACCTGAATTGGAGGAGTTTGTGCGCAGCAAGATCGTCAAGAAGATCTCTCGTGTCAACAAACCCAACTTCATCAGCAAGGTGGGCTTGCAGCGAATCGATATGGGCGAAGGGGCGCCATTCATCACCAATCCAAGATTGAAAGACCTGACTGTCGATGGAAACTGCTGCGTAGAGGCAGATCTCCAATACACTGGGAATTTCCGACTCGAAATCTCAGCCACCGTGCGCATTGACTTGGGTCCTCGATTCAAGGCCAGGGAAGTCGACATTGTCCTTGCAGTTGTATTGAAGAAGCTAGAAGGCCACTTGTTAGTACGCTTCAAGCCTCCACCCAGTAATCGAATCTGGATGTCCTTCGAAACAATGCCCAAGATGGAGATGGACATTGAGCCTATTGTCAGCTCCAAACAAATTACATACAGTCTCATTCTGCGCACGATTGAAAGCAAGATCCGCGAGGTGGTGGCAGAGAGCATTGTCCTGCCTTTCTGGGACGATGTCCCATTCCATGATACTTTGGGACAGGCTTTCCGTGGTGGGATCTGGCAGCGGGACGCTCCAGACTCGAGTGACCAGGTAGAGATACCCGATGAATCTGGTGAAGCCCCGGCGACCCCGAAGAGTGTCGGTGGCGATCCCATTGAAATCCTCAAGTCCAAGGACGATCGCACCATGAGCATGCCTACCCTTTCCGAGTCAGCAACGGCCAAGAAAAAGCCACGCAAAGGCCCGAAATCGTCTCTCTCAGACCTGCAAACAAATAGCTCAGCTGCAATTTCCACTGGCATTGAGAGGCCAGAAAGCACGCCATTGCCTCGAGCAATCCGGTCGCAGACGTTCTCTAATGCTGCAGACCCTGTGGTCACAGCAGATAATGCCAAAGTTGACAAAGTCGTCACTGAGAACAAAGGAGACGAAAAGAGCCATGCAACCAGCGCCATGATCGAGATATCAATCCGCTCCCCACCCACATCACCTAACCGAACCCCGAGTAGCTCGCCACCCACAGGTGGCATCACAGTGCCAGAAAGTGTGGTCCATAGTCGCGAGTCATCGATTGCAGAGTGTATTGACAGCGCTAACTTCCGAAATGACAATGGCATCCAAAGACCTTCTGCTACTCGACTGGAGAGCAACTCCTTCTCCAGCATGAGGAGCTCTCGGGGTAGTTCTACTACTTCGCTCATCAGCGACAAGGCTCGCCGACGTAGCACGATTGAAACCATCACCAAATCTTTCACTAGCACATCATCCGATGACAAGCCTTCTGGTTCTATGACGATCGGGTCAGCCACTGCTGCCGCAAAAAAATGGGGTTGGAGTGTGTTCGGCAAAGGTGATATGAACATGGGCCAAGAATCCTTGCAGGCTCCTGCTGGCACACTTGACCAGCCCATTGGGCGTGGGCATCCTCATCCACCGCCCGGAACTCCGTTACCTCGCCCCGACAAGTATGCCTTGAAGAGAAACCCCACAAGCTTGCCCAAGCGGAAACCCGTGGGGACACACACAGAGTCTGAACGCCCAAAGACGGGAGACTCACAAGCACCACCATCACCTTTACCTCGCAGAAAACCAATGCGTCCTGGGGTGCACACTAATGAAAGCACCGATGAACTGCTTGTGGTGGAGGCACCCCAAGACTCTGAGCCCAACAGTCCGGCCCCTGGTGACCTGGACTCGGACCAGGGTCTGAAGAAATCGACTCCTGTTGAGAGTGAGACTTCTTCAAAGACTGAGAAGTCCTCACTCGACCACGAGGAGAAAGAGGAGGCCTCTGAAGAGGCTTCCGATGTGGAACCCATAGGCTCTGTTGATCAGACGCCTTCAACTCTAGGCAGCAACGAGGCCCTGCTATCTGAAAGACTGGAAGTGCCTGCATCGTAATGGATGTTCCCTTTTGCCCAGACAACTAAGGAAATAGAGGGTAGTCTGTTCTCTATATCTCCCTCTGCCTTGATGGATGCTTAGTGTTCATGGACTCATGCTGGGCTGGTTATCCCTGCATGTGATCGTTTCCTCGCATAGAGTAGTGGAAGTGCCAGTCATATAGCTATCTCTCTTGTGTTAGTGGGCGACTCAAGTATCCAACATATTGTTCTCTACTTGATACCATTTAAAAGTAGACCATATCCTTCGTAACGTTAGAATGGCCTGCCACAATAAATACTGAATCCTGCTGCCTAACCTGCATTGCATGTTTGACGCGTATGCTAAAAAGCACAGTCTCTTCATTCGCAAGGGATAGAACTCACAAAGTTGAATGCTTCATAAGTGTCTCGCCCAACCCGCATCGGCTTAGGCGTCGCCAAGACTCCCGACAGGCGCCAACTTTCCCGTTCCCCATCAACGTCATTCAATGGTTCGAACTCCCACGTGTGTCTTTTTGGTGCTTCACCAATTCCCCTTCACTCTGCACTTCGAATAATCCAATTTATCCGGTCGGCGCAAGCTCACTTAAGCGTCTCTGCGCTGTCCGGGTTCGGGATCTGCCAACGCGACAGAGTTGTCCAACACTCCCACTCTTCCGCCCCCCTGAGCCCGCATCGATAGCACCCCGTCCGTCAAGATGAGTCGGTAAGCAAGACCCCTGCGGAATCCCTAGATCCTGTGTCTCACACTGAATCGTGCAGGACCGAGGCCGATTTGGCCATCAATATTCGCAAGGCCACCAGTATCGGTAAGTGGTTGATCGAGGATGAAAGTGACAGGAACTCGACGAGCTAACGAATTGATTGTTAACAGAGGAAACCGCTCCTAAACGTATGTTCCCACTATATCCCACTGCCATTCCTTGAATCGATTGATGTCGCCGTGGGCATTGTCCTGTCCGAATCCGAACTGACCACACCCCGTGCCTGTAGGGAAGCATGTGCGGAGCTGCATCGTCTATACGTGGGACCACAAGTCGTCGGCGGCTTTCTGGGCTGGCATGAAAGTGTATGTTTCTGAGATATCCGGAGGCGATATAAGGGTGAGGGGAGGTGTTGTTCGAATGTGGCTGACACGCATCGGTTCTTCATAGGCAGCCTGTCCTCGCCGACGAGGTCCAGACGTTCAAGGCCCTGATCACGATACACAAGGTTCTCCAGGAGGGTCACCCCATGGTTGTGCGCGAGGCGCAACAGCACTCCAATTGGATTGATAGCTTGATGCGAGGTGTTGGTGGCGATGGCGTTCGAGGTATGATATCCGCACTTGGCAATTGTGCAATGGTCCTCGGCTGGAGGAGTTGCGATGCAGACGGGGAACAGGATATTGACGGCTTTGGATAGGATATGCGCCGCTTATTCGGGAGTACGTCTTCTTCCTTGAGTCGAAGCTAACGTTCCACCGCAACCACCCTGAATTCAACGGTATGTCATCCCCCGTGGAACGATGTTGTGATGTGCGGATGTTTGACAAATGTAGGTCTGTTCGAGTACGAGGAGTACATTAGTCTGAAGTCGATCAATGATCCGAACGAAGGGTGCGTACATACCCGTCTTTGTGACAATACAGATGGATAAGTGTTAACAGGTCTGCAGTTACGAGACTATCACCGACTTGATGGCCTTGCAAGATCAGATTGATTCATTCCAGAAGCTCATCTTCTCGAACTTCCAGTCCGGCACGAACAATGAATGTCGAATCTCAGCGTTGGTGCCCCTTGTGCAGGAGAGTTATGGTATCTATAAGTTCATCACCAGCATGCTGAGAGCCATGCACACAAGTAAGTGTCCCTCATCTTTTGAGCTGCGTTCAATGGCAACTAACTGACTTTTTGCAGCCACTGGCGACGACGAAGCTCTCGAGCCTCTCCGGGGCCGGTATGATGCCCAGCACCACCGTCTCGTCCGCTTCTACTATGAGTGCTCCAACCTGCGCTACCTGACTGGCCTTATCACCATTCCGAAATTGCCGCAAGACCCTCCCAACCTGCTCGCCGAAGATGACGATCGCCCCGCTCTTCCCAGGCGACCCGCAAGGGAAGTGGAAGCACAGCCTTCACCACCACCCAAGGTGGCTGCGGAACCCGAGCCGATCAATGAATTCTGGACCAACGAGGCCAGACGCCAGCAAGAAGAGTATGAGGCAGAGCAGGCACGTTTGCAACAGCAGTGGGAGGATCAGCAGCGCCAGCAAGTCCTTGCTCAACAGCAGGCCCAGAACGATTTCGAGGAGCAGCAGCGCCTCCAGGCAGAGCAGCAACGATTGGCACAAGAGCAGCTTCTTCGTGACCAATACCAGACACATACACAAGGCCGACTGGCAGAGTTGGAGCAAGAGAACCTCAACGCTCGTGCTCAGTATGAGCGTGACCAGTTGATGCTGCAGCAATATGACCGCCGTGTCAAGGACCTCGAGGAGCAGATGAACCACCTGAACTCCAACCTCAACTTGCAGAACGCCTCCAAGGACGAGCAGATTCGATCCCTGCAGGAGCAGGTCAACACCTGGCGGACCAAGTATGAGGCTCTGGCCAAGCTGTACTCCCAGCTTAGACAGGAGCACCTCGATCTTCTGCAGACCACAAAGAGCCTCAAGCTCAAGGCTGCCTCCGCACAAGAAGCAATTGAACGGCGCGAGAAGCTGGAGCGTGAGCTCAAGACCAAGAACCTGGAGTTGGCTGATATGATTCGGGAACGTGACCGTGCTCTGCATGACCGGGATCGCCTGACTGGTACCAACAAGGATGAGCTGGAGAAGGTCAAGCGTGAGCTTCGTATGGCGCTCGAGCGTGCCGAGAATGCCGAACGCTCAAAGGGCACCGAGATCTCATCCATGCTGTCCAAGTATAACCGTGAGATGGCTGATCTGGAGGAGTCTCTCAGAGTGAGTATTCATCCTTCCCGTTTCACTGTCTGATTTATACTGACCGCATAGAACAAAACACGAGCATTGGAGGATATTTCCAGCCGCAACACAGACCGCGATGGCGACCATGACCTGGAGCTTCGCGAGAAGGACGAGGAGATTGAGGTGTACAAGTCCGGCATGGAACAGGCTCTTATGGAGCTTGAGGAGCTGAGAATGGTAAGCAGTGGTCCTGATACCATGGAGTATGTGCATGCTAACCTCGTGTCATTGTAGAACCAAGGCGATGCCGACCACGCACTGGATAGCCAGATTGATACTGTGCTCCACGGCACAGTGGCAAAGATCAACGATATCATCGACTCTGTGCTCCAGACTGGTGTGCAGCGTGTCGACGATGCCCTGTATGAACTGGATTCATCCATGCAGGCTGGTAACCAAAATGCCTCCCCGCCATATGTGCTTTCGCAGATTGAGAAGGCCTCAGCCTCTGCGACCGAGTTCTCAACAGCCTTCAACAACTTCATCGCCGATGGCCCCAACAGTCCCCACGCTGAGATTATCCGCACGGTCTCCATCTTCTCTGGGTCTGTTTCTGATGTGTTGAGCAACACCAAGGGTCTGATGCGCTTCGCCAATGACGACAAGAGCTCTGACCATCTGATGAACGCTGCCCGCAAGTCCGCCCAGGCTACTGTCCGCTTCTTCCGTGGTTTGCAGTCGTTCCGTCTCGAGGGTCTGGAGCCGTTGCAGAAGACTGATGTGGTTATCAACAACAACCTGGAGGTCCAGCGTGACCTGCAGTCGCTGTCGAAGCTGGTCGACTCGTTCGCTCCTAAGAACAGCAAGATTAGTACCAGTGGTGATTTGGGTGACCTGGTCGACCAGGAACTGCTCAAGGCCGCTGATGCCATTGACGCTGCTGCCCAGCGTCTGGCCAAGCTCAAGAACAAGCCCCGTGATGGTTATTCGACTTACGAGCTGCGCATCAACGATGTGATCCTTGCCGCGGCCATTGCCGTCACCAACGCCATTTCCGAGTTGATCAAGGCCGCCACAGAAACTCAGCAGGAGATTGTCCGTGAAGGTCGCGGTAGCTCTTCTCGCACTGCCTTCTACAAGAAGAACAACCGCTGGACAGAAGGTTTGATCTCTGCTGCCAAAGCCGTGGCTGGCTCCACCAACACCTTGATTGAGACTGCCGACGGTGTGATCTCCGGTCGCAACTCGCCAGAGCAGCTCATCGTCGCTTCCAACGACGTTGCCGCCAGCACTGCCCAGCTTGTCGCTGCCAGTCGTGTCAAGGCCACCTTCATGAGCAAGAACCAGGATCGTCTAGAAACAGCCAGCAAGGCCGTCGGCGCCGCTTGTCGCGCTCTCGTTCGCCAAGTGCAGGATATCATCAAGGAGAAGAACCGCGACGACAACGAAGCGGAGGATTATGGAAAGCTGAGCTCGCACGAGTTCAAGGTCCGCGAGATGGAGCAGCAGGTATGTGATTCTCCCGTCCCCCCATGTTCCCCTTGTGGTGTATTTGACCCAATACTGACATTATCTCCTCAGGTCGAAATCCTCCAGCTGGAGAACGGTCTGGCTCGTGCTCGCCAGCGTCTGGGCGAGATGCGCAAGATCTCCTACCAGGAGGATTAAGCAAAGCTGTTCCATTCGCGTTTGTTTTTCACTCTTGACTGTCTTGTGTATATTCCGCATTCCAATTCCGAGGAGTTCAGTCCGTGTCGGTCGCATTTTGTGTTCTTCGATCTGGACCTATTCTCCCCATTCCCGTAGTTAGTCTCTTGAGTTAAATTTCCATAGCGAATGCAAGCAACTTACACAGTCCACTCCAATGAGCGTAGTTCTTGTTCCCATTTTCCCCTGTACTCTGGACTGTATGTTCTCTTGGCCCCAGTAGACGATCCCGTAGCACGCATCTGCATCCTGGTCCGTCGACCGACTCCCTGCATGCCAAGCCTTTCCCCAGACTGTGGAACCTCGGGACGGCTGCGTGGAGATCCGTGGGTCGCTGCACTAGCACCGACTATCAACAAAGAGAATCGAGACGTCACCTCATATCCCAGACAAAGAGGGAGTGTGCAACGACGTCGACGTATTGGTCGTAGCTTCGAGAGGAAGCGGAAGCGTCATGGCGGGGACTCGGTTCGATGGTTCGACGGGTTGACAGGCTCGAGGGATTGGAGCTGGTGGTTATTCGAGTTCTGCAGGTGGTGAAGCTACAAAGAAGCAAGTCAGTCAGAGAAGCACAACACGGCAAGCAGCGAAGAAAATTTACCAGGTTTATGAGCCATGAAGAGGACTCTCCAGTCGCAAGTCTACAAATCTACGAATCGGAGAAGCAGGATTTTGTGCATTTGCATCATATTGACTACCTAGGCCCTAGCTGAAATTCTGTAAATGATCACAACTTATCATGCCCGCGCAGGAAGAAAAGGAGAATTCGGTAGCCTGGAGGGAACGTAGACCGATGATCATCCTCTCTTGAAGATTGCGCGCAAGCAAGATAGATACAAATCATCGATAGGGACATGGTATGACTGAAAAAGGAAAGACGGAAAAGCGCTCACAAAGCAGATAGTGGTACAGGGGAATCGGAAAGCAGAGAGGCAGGGCTGTTTGATTGGAACCTTCACGAGAAACCCTGATCAATGACTGTCCTCTGGCGCAGGATGGCGCAATGGGATAAACAAGAGAGAATGGAATGGATTGAAGTTGAATGATGGCCGTGGATCAAGAAACCTGGTCAGGGATGACAATGAAGGCGCGGCGTTGTAACCTTGAATTCATGCGAGACCCTCATGGACAGCTGGTTGACCGGCAAGGTGGATGCTGTGAGAGGATCTGCGAGTGAATTGTAAGACGTGCATCTTGGATGTTGTCAAGCCGAAAGCCGAAAGTGAACGTCAAAATTAATTTTCCTGCCGGAAGAGCATCTGCTGAGAATCCTTGTCAAGACTGAGCATCTCGTACCAAGGGATTGGTGTGTAGTCCATGTCACAAAAGGTGGTACCGGAAATCTGATCGTTGGCAAGCTGCTGACGCTCATACTCGTTGTAAGAGGCAGGAAGAGGCTCGACACCGTTTGGGCCATAGAGAATTTCATTGTTGCCCAACACATCCATAAAATCTTCGTTCACAACAGCAACGAGATTGCCAGAGTGCAACACAACATCGTCCTCATCTTCGTTCTCGTCCTCATTCTCAACAAAGTTGTTCCGAGTAGGCACGGCACGGGAGGCACGGCGCTTGCGCTCAGAGGGGCGGCGTGGGGTGTACTGGTAGTCAGGGTGGGCAAGGGAGTGACGCTTCTTCAAGTCATCGGCGAGAACAATGTAACGCTGACGGACTTCATCGGACTCGTTCTTCCAGCGGGCACCAAGAATGCGGGCTGATAACGAAATTAGCTGAGAAAATAATGTTATTCAAGCATGAAAGACCCACAGATTTCGTTGTTGGTAATGGCCGGGTTAGCATCCTTCACAGCGTGGTGGTTGGCCTGACGATAGAGAATGAACGAGTTGGGGGGACGTGGGATCTTGGTCGAGCGAGTAGGTATGCGGACAGCGGTATCAGCAACAGCCTGGTGAACGGCCTTGGAGATGCGCTGGTGGTCGCCAAGCTCCAGGGTCTTGCCGCCAACCTTGAGCTGCTCAGGAATCATGTCCTTGGTGAACTCATGGGGGTGAACTCGGTAGCACTCAATGCTGCTGTCGGCCAGAATCTGAACCTGCTTGTTCAGAAGGGCCCTATGATTATATGTCAGTAGCATGCTCAAGACGTTCCAAGAATTAATGACTTACGCAAGGCGCTTGGAAATGACCATAAGGCCCTCCTGGCCGATCACAGCCTCGACAATGTTGAAAGGAACAAAGACTTCGCCATCAGTAGACTTGAGATGAGTGATGGCATCAGACCAAAGGATCTCCACAGCCTGAGCGGGAGTGACTTGGTCCAAGACAGTAGCCGGAACATTAGGAGCTGCCATCTTGAAAGATATCAACGTTGGCAAAGAAGCAAGAAAATGTAAACAAGCGAGAGGTAGGAATGGGAGGAAAGAAGAAGGTGGGGGTAAAAAGGAAAGAAGAAAAGAGAAAGAGAATCAGAGTAATAACCAAAGTGGACGATGCGATGGGCATTTCTTTGTTTGCGAGGCAGCACCAATCAGAGTGCCTCACCCCAATTGGGATTTCTTTGTTTTGTCAATAAAGGGAAATAAAATAAGTAAGATAAACTACGAGAGCAACCTGATTCAAAGTGACTTGGACAGCATGTACCTGTTCAACAGCCAAACCGAACACCCCCAACACTTCTGTGTACATGTGTTCCCATCTACGCTGCTGGGCTGGTCTCCGTAGCGATACGAGGCTGCAGGGCTTTGATAAATCATACTAGGGGCTATCAAGACATACTTATTATATTCAAACATATCAATTTCAAGTATGCCTATAAGATATCGATTTGTGCTACTGCAGACGGTAAGTCAGGAGAAAAACATGGATGTTCTCCACGTGGCACTGCAGATCCGGGGATTAGCGCCTCCACCCACAATTAAGCTTAAAACACATGGTCCATGCACAATAGATTCGAGGTGATTTACCTATTCTCCACTACCTAGAAGCTGCCAATTTTGGAATAACTCGTCCAGTTTCAGCTCATCTGGCTGGGATTACATGGCAGCCAATCCGATCTAACTTGAGGATGTTGGTAAGGTACTTCCCCTGAGGTATCTCCGATTCCAAATTTCCGCAGCAAAATATCATGAGTCATGCCCTAGCGAACAATGGTTTGTAGGAAGCCAATCAGAATATCGGAAAATAAAATAAACATTCACTACGATGGCTGAATAGCGAACAATTCCTGGGCGACCAATTACGACGAGGGAGGATAAAATACAGTTTGCGAAAAGCCGCTCAATGGGAAACAATAGAGAACGATCTCCCAGTCGGCCATTCAAAAACCGAAAAAAAAGGGCCGGAAGCCTCATCAGCAAGGCATCCACAGAGCTTCAGGTTCCCAGAGAACTTTCCCCGATCATGTCTTCCAGGAGAAATGCTCTGAGCCTCCCCAGACAGCCATCGATCTTGTAATAGTGGGCTCCAAGTAGCCCCTTGGGATTGCCGAGAATATACAATAGCGAAACATTTGCATGGACAAGGCAATTAATGCTAGCTACGGGGACACGAGATGAAGAAACCGTGCAATGCGGAGATGCAATCGTAGATATTGCTATTCATATATTGCTATGGGTTACCAAGCGAATCCCTCAATTTGGCACATAAATTTATATCATTGCTCCAGCGTTGTAGCAGACGGGTTCCAATCACTAGCCCAGATAAATGTAGGACACCGCCACTGCGTGCCTTTCTCCTTTACTCCACTAGGACCCAGTGGCCGAGGGCAAATCCAGAACGAGCGCCCGCGATTCATCCCTGGTTTCTTAGTTGTCAAGCTGATGCAGGGCTCCTGGTGTCCGTCACACGGTGGGACGGGCTTTTTAGTAAAAAGCTTCGACCAATCCTCCTTGCTGACGATTGGGTCAATGACTGTATCGTTGTCCATGAGCTTGCTGGATTTAGGTGTCTGGGTAGATGAGTCGTATGTGTGTGTTTCAGTGGGCTGCGATCCGAGGTCTGGAGCTGTCTGGTTCTCTTCTGACGAGGAAGGTGTTTGGATGTTAAGCGGTGTCCCCGAGACAGGGACTGATATTGAGGAATGAGTAGATTCATCGCAGTTCATGACTTTCGGTTTGAAGAACCCCGTCAGTGACTTTTGGCCTGCTGTTGTAGCCCCTGGAGACGCTGTTGCTGAGGACTTGCTGCGTTTCGTCAGTGGAGTTGGAAGAGGTTGCGCGCGCTTGCGAGAAGCTGTATGATTTGATTGGTTGTCAGTTTTGATGGGCGCAGAAGAGCTTTGAACAATTCCACAAGACTGGGATGTTGTAGTTGCGACCGGTGATTCTGGAGTTTGAGCCTCAGATTCTGTAGTGAATGCCACGGCCGAGTGCACCGGTTTCGTTGGAGCACTGGCCGGTTTGCGAGCAAACATATCCTTGATACTGCGGCGCTTATTAACGTCAAACTCTGGCAGTAAACGTCCTGAAGCAGGCAATGCAAATTTGACCGAGTATTCCTGTTGGCGCTCGCCATTTTTGAACATTCCCGGTGGGTTAAGAATGTCTTTGACGTTCACCAGGCCTTCCGGCTGCGGTATGGAGTCTTTGAAGTCGACGAAGACAGGGCAGTGGTCCGATCCCTAAATAGCGATCCATCATCAGCCATCAACCCTGTACCAGCTATTGAACGAACTCTCACCATCAAACCTTCCTGGATATTGGATCCTGAGAGCCAGTCCTGCATATTCAAGCTGCAAAGCACATAGTCGATCCTTGAACCATAGTTTCCTGGCCGAGTATTAAGTTTCTGATCCCAACACGTATACATCCCAGTACGATCTGGATGGAACAACCTGCAGGTATCAAAGAGAACCGGCTCTTCCCTGCCGCTGTCGCGTTCACCGATAACGACACCGTCAGATAGCAGGTGGTTGAAAAGACGCCGAGCAGGGCTAGATATGAACTCCTCCTCCGACGTTGTGCCCTTCCGTATAGCTTCCATCCCATGTGCTGCATCGAATCCCCGTTTTGCAATGTTGATATCCCCAGCCACGATCACGCGTTTTCCCATCGCTGTCAGGTTGCGGACCCGAGAATCCAAGGCATTGAGAAAGTCCATGCGGAAGGTATCTCGACTTTCGTCCCGATTTGCTGGACAGTATACACCAATTAGAACAAAGGCGGGAAACTCCAGAATAACACAACGGCCTTCGGAGTCAAGGGTTGATGCATCGATTCTGGCTCCAGGCCCCGGGTTGGAGTCATCTTGCTCGTCTTCTGAATCAGGCTCTTCAGGATCTACCACTACCCGGGAAAGTTGCTCAGCGGTGGGATATCCACCAATCTGTTGCTCTTTTGGAAGATCGCAGAATGATACCGACGAGTTCGGCGGGCAGAGAACACCAGTGATGCCTTCTTCGGCTCGTATGGGAGCACATGTGGCATTGCGCGTGTATATTACAACACCAGAGTACCCTTTAAACTGTCAGTAACCGGTATAGAATACGCAGCAGGAGCAGCTTGCCTTTCTTAAATCGAGGGAGACTGAAGTAGCAGTCCCAACCTGGCACCAAGACCATGTCATCGCGGAGGTCTTTGCGTTGGATCTTGGTCTCTTGGAGAATGACAATATCAGATTCCAGGGTGTCAAACATGGACTTGGGTGACTCGATTAGCTACTCATATCTGTAACAGGAAAGGGATGGACGCTTACCTCAAACGTGCGCGTCCCTCTCCATGGCTCATAGGAAAACGGATTTCTTGACAAGTAGTGAGCCTTGTATCTTCAGCCTACAGGTGCTTAACATACCGAATACCATTGACTAAGCATGTGTGATTAGCATATGTTTCATCCACTTCCTGTCAACAAATCAGATGGAGCTCACCATTCCACGTCGTGATACGGAATCCCATGCTGAAGGCTAGTGTTCCAACAAGCACAGCAGCATGTCCAGTAGTGAGTGGATAGCCACAACAAAAAAAGCTGCTCAAGTCGTAGCATCGACAGCTTCTGTCGAATCGCGGTGCATACGTATCCCGTGACATAGCTATCACGTGATATAAATGGGGTGATGTCAACTTACATAAGCCGGGAGATCACGGGGATACGCTAAAGGCGGCTTTTGCTTCAACGCACCACCTCCGGTCCACCACCTGCAAAAGAACCCCTTAGCACCACCCACCATGTTCTCTCAGCGCAACATTGCCCGCCTGTCCCAGCGTGCTTCGCAGCAGATGCGTTCCGCTCCGGTCCGCTCGACTGTCCAGCGCCGTTTCAACAGCGCCGAGGCCAAGCCCTCATGGATCGTCGACAACGAGTTCAACCGCGAGAGAGCTGCCGTCAAGCACCACGCTGCTTCCACTAGTGGTGCGTACCCCACTCAATTGATCCATCACCAGGTTATTCCCGGCGGAAAATACCGATCGCTAACCCAATGATTGTTTAGACCTCTGGCGCAAGCTGTCCATCTTGTACGTCTCCAATGGCTTTGATGCCCGCACTACCAGAACAGAAACTAATTGCCCCGCAGCGCTGTCATTCCCTGCCTGATCGGCGGTGGTCTCAACGCCTACAACCTCTGGAACGAGCACTGGGAGCACTGGGAGCACATGCCTCCTATCGAGGAGCGCACCGAGTACCCTTACCAGAACATCCGTGTGAAGAACTTCCCCTTCGGTGACGGTGACAAGGTACGTTCTCACCCGAATTTGCAATAAAGGTGTAAGCTAATCCATATGCGATACAGACCCTCTTGTGAGTTTCAACCCCGCCATACATTATCAATCTCCCTGCAGAACAGTCGGCTCTGCACCGAACAAGTGCAAGCTGACTTGACACCTACTTCTTTTATTCTTACTCCCCACAAATAGCACCGCTAACTGATCTATCTCTAGCTGGAACTCCGAAGTCAACTACCACAACAAGGACAAGGCCACCTAAATGACGCCATTGAGGATCGAGAAACACCTCAGAAACTTTTTGGCAGACCCTCTTTTGCGTGCGAGGGCTGTCTTCTTTGAGTGCATATCATGTGTAAATCTATCTCGCTGTTGTTCTAGGGGTGAAATACAGTCAGATGCTTGGGAAGATGAGGGTCCATTTGACAGAATGAAGCGACGCTTCGTATTTCTTAACATTCATTCGTGCTGCTACTTATTCCTTTTGTCCGCTCTTGGATTCTTTCCTTATATTGATCTATCCGGAATTCAATATCTACTTGGGTTGCCGGATGTGACCTAGCCCAGCAAGTAGATAATGCGCCTCCAACTGCCCACAGGACGGAATATACCAGAGATTGTACCAGAAGGTGATTGGCAAGTCATATGGATGGCTGGCTCGACGAGTGGCTTCAGTCCCTGTTAGCTTGACCGGA